TTTTGTATTAATTTATATTGTAGATCTATTTATGCATTTGTTAATATTGGGTTTGAACGAATGAAATGTCAGATTTTTTTAAACAATCTCTTGTTCGCAAATATTAATGCGATGAGTAGTAAATTAATCTGTTGATAATATCTTGGGTCACTTTGACATTTAAAAATAGCATCATCCATTTTCTGTTTCATATTCTATTATTTAACATTTATTCTTAATGTTTCGGGGAACACTCCTCATCTTCAGAACATTAATTCTTATTCTTATAATTTATTAAAGATATAATATCTTTAAAGCCAATTCGTTTAAAATTTTACATAATTGTATCTATTAAAAGGCCTAACAGCCTAAACTAATCTCCCTTTGTTTCTTTAACCAGACCAAAAAATGTGATATTTCTCCTTTGATTGTCATCCCTTAATGTTAATTATGAAAAATTCAAGAGCCTATATAACTTTTTATCATTGATAAAATCTGAGAAATTATGCTTGGAAATAATTCTCATAGCCTGTTTTTCTTTGAAGTTTTCATGCAAAATTTCCTGTAGCACACTGAAATTTTTGCATCCTTTTCAGTTTTTTATTCATATCTCCAAAACTATGCATTTTATTGAGAAAAAAAAATCTAAATAGAGTAAAGTTGGCAAAATTTATTACATATTCCATCCATAGTTTTTTTATGTAGAACCAATAGATGAAGAACTAGAGCAAGTTTAAAATTTATTAAATTTGAATGTTTTGTAAACATAGCATTCTTTGTGCGTTTTTCGCAGATTACTCATAATATGCCTATTTCCAAAAACAGTGTAGTGTGCACAAATTGGAAGACAATTCATTTAATATCTTCTTGCTTAGGGTATATGATGATTTTTTTATTGTTTCATATTAGTTTATTTTGAAGTGTGTTAACATCATATGAATAATGAGTTGTTTTTTTAGCTCTGGCTAGAAGTACTGTAAAAATTGGTTTCCGGAAGGACACTCTCAATCGGCTAATCAATAGCAGAGAAGTAGATACTAAATATTTTATCGACTTCATTTTCCAGCCAAAAGTTCAAGAAAGTTTGGAAATGTACCTTCAAGCGCTCAAGAAAAAATAACTCTATTTTAATGTACGACTAGCTTTTATCTTGTTTCTAGATATTTATGATATTTTTTTTGATTGGAAAGGTAAAATCAATCGAAAAATAATTGATGTGTCATATATTTTTATATATTTTTTAAAATTAAATAGAAGACTGTTTTAATTTAGATCACTAAAATATTTTATGACCAATCTCTATAAATATACAAATTTATTTTTATTTTAGATATATTTAATGTTGCAAATATTTATATTGTTCTATATTTTATAAGTATTATTTATTATTTTTAAAGAAATGTATAATATATTCTCTTTGTTGTATTACTTGGTGTTTTCTTTTTATGTTAATTAATTTACATAGCACACCCACTAGCGGATCCAGGATTTAATTTTGGGAAAGGCTTCAGCCTGAAAGCTTTTTTTTTCATAAAAATGACGACATTTACTTTGGAAAAAAAGAAAGAAACTAGCTATCTATATGAAATGGTGTTTAAGTGGTTTCTTGAGTCCTTTTAAATGTTATTACACAAACAATAATACTTTAAGAGATAATTTTTTAATATTTTTTTCCATAAAACATGGTTATATTTTACCATTTTGGGGGGACTATAAAGTACCATGATGATACAAGAGTTTGTGAAAACTGCTTACTTCTTCAGACTTCTGTCATGACATCTCTAATATCCAAAAGAAGGATGAACCTGCATGAAGGGGTCAGTTTAGTATTGATCTGTTACTAGAAGAATAGGTTAGTATTCTTCATGATATAGTTGATATCCTTATAAACAAACAGACAAGTAATAGTTATGCACATATTTTTTTCTTTATTGTTATACAATTTTGTAAGGATTTGAGATGTTTACTTCATTTTTATTTTGGTATTAGATATCCTTAAATATATAATAGATACAACAATGCATGAGCCCTATTTCGAACATACAAAGTTATTATGGAGCTGTGATTCAAACCACACCCTCACTAGAATCAGACTCTGTCAGAGCCTGAAGCGATTATACATTATAGGGATCAAGTAGAAAAAAAGAAGTGTGAAGTATAATTCTAAATTGGGCTGAAAAATAAATTTGAAACCTTAATCTTGGAGGACCTGACAGTTTACCAACAATTGTAGACATTGGAGAAATGGTTAAAAGAGACAGATAAATAAGTAGTAGGTACTCAATAGAAACAAAAAGCCAACAAGTAGCGTACAGAAAAGATCATGGATGTGTGACAATGGACTAATACCTTACACAGTTGCCTAGAAAAATGCAAACAAAATTATAATGGTGAAAAGAAAATTTCTCCAAAAACATCGCTCTTCATTGAGAATAACTGTAAGGCTGGAAATATATGCGCATCCTATGTGGATGTCAGGAAAGAAAGAGTAAGCTATGAATAAAAAAAAAATGAGCAAATGGTTGGAAAACAGAATACTTTACTAAGCATCCCTAAAGAACATTTCCAGCAGTTTCTTAGGAATGAAAAAGACATGCAACACATCCAGCAACTCAACCCAAAAGAGGGTTAAAAACAACAACATACAGTTATTTCCATATTTCAGATTTAGAAAGAGCTATTAAAAGAAGGCCTTGGAGAGGGACGACTTTCCTGCAATTGCCTCTCTCGTTCTCTTCCCCGTCCCAAAACTCTGCAAATGTATATTATTAGAACACTGGAAGTCCTAGCTCAGTGATCTCCAAACTTTTTGGCTCCACTAGATCGTTTTGCACGGTCAAATCTCTCGTCCAAAGCTTTATATGAACTCAACTTGATGGTGAAACTTGTACCGTGTAAAAGGGTTACAGTCGCGGATCGGACTAAGATCCGCGAGCCACATTGAGACCCTCACGTAGTCCCGGGGGCCATGGCTCATGATAAAAAAAAAAAAGGTTCTAAAATGACACGTTAGTTATATATGAACTTTCTAAGAGAAACAACTAATGGAATAAAGACAATTGTTACCTCAAGTTTAAGTGATTTACTAAATTTCGTATTTAGTTAATCTTTTATACGGGCCGGATTGAAGGTGCTTGTGGGCCGTAGTTTGGAGACCCTTGTTCTAGCTCGTTGATTTGTTGTAGTGCCAATCATATATGGCGAGTGAGATCTGAATACTAACCATCACTCTAGAAAAAAATGTTGAAATATTTGAGAGGAAAATCCTCTGCACGATAACCGGAACAATCAGGGATCAGAGTCCTAACACATGGAGAAGAAAGACCAATAAAGAACTGTTTACATAAACTGGTCAACCAATATCCCATGGTATGAAGGTACGGAGGTTAAGATGGGCGGGACAAGTAGCTCCTAATAATCCATCTGTAAGCCTCTACGTAACAATTAATGCCTCAATAGAAGGCAAAAGACCACGTGGAAGTCCAAAAAGCAGAAGAATAGATAAAATGAACAAAGATGCAACAGAGTTGCGTGCAGATAAATGGAAAGAAATAGCACAAGACAGGCAAAGATAGAGCAGGCTTGTTAAGGTGGCAAAAGATATACATAGTCTGTAATGCCAACAGAAAAAAATATATTTGTAATATATGTTACCATCTAATTTAAAAAAAACGTTGGCGAGCCGGATTGAAGGTGCTTGTGGGCCGTAGTTTGGAGACCCATGCCCTAGCTCGTTGACTGGTTGTAATGCATATTAGGTTGCTGATACTGGTACTTGGTGGGGTGAACTAGTCCGGCTATTGCCTTAAGAGAACCTTATCGTGGTCCTTTTTGGCAATCCCCTGACGGCTACCTTAAGGTTGTCACCACCTACTCACTAGAGTGGGAATGTCATGATTCATTTTCGGGGGGCGCCTAGATATGAAAATTAACCGACCCAGGTGGGAATCGAACTCACAACTTTAGAACAGGGCATTCTGTGACCCACGCCACAATGTGCTCGTCCATCACGTCCTCATTATTATTAGGTTAAAATGATTCTCGAAAACAGAGTAGCTAGATTAATATATGAAACTAGATTCCATGGATCCATGGCAGAGGCACACTTGGGGAGATGCAATCAGCAAGGATGTATTAACTGGAACAAGCTGTATAAATTCTTCATCTTCGTTTATCTGATTAAATGATCACTTCCAGTGATAAAACAAGTAAATCAGTAGTTCTCCTGGGGTCCTCCAGTGTCCCATAGAGTTCGGTTTCAAGCGATTTCGGCCAAGGACAAAGGCTCCTTCTAGCCTCATCAAGTTGAACACAACTCGGAAGAACAAGTCCAGCTATTTGTTCTACCACACTAGGAACTACTTCGAATTCAGAATTGTTTGTAAAGTTGAGAATTTCCTCTGCTGTGGTTAGTGCTGACTCTGAATATCGCGACATGCTCTTTTCTATTTAGTTTATGGTAGGGGTCTTGGATGTTGCTATGAGGATGTTTGGTGCCTCATTTTAGCCTTATCCTAGCTTTATTTGTTTTTATCTCGTCCAATGAGAGTCGGAAGTCAGTCTGCCGTTGAAGTGATACAGCCTTTGGCATTTTTTCTGCTTTCTCGTTATTTTTGTTACCGCAGTACGCAGTTATTTATTGCAAAACAAATTGTTTGCTAATGTTGTTTAGCTTTTCTAGTTGTATGTGATGCCAGTTCCTAAGTTATCAGAGAATAAAACCACTTGAATGAGAATAAAACCACAACTATAAACCACTTGAAAGTGCCTCTATAAAATGGAAACTTATACGTATCAGCGATGAAGAAGAATGGAGTTTAATAACCATTATAAATATTTAATAACTAAGATCTTGGTTCTCATAAACTGTATGTACGCTTACAATTCATATTGTTCCTCCTATACGTCTTGAATATTAATAATCAGACCTGTTTGACTAATAAATCGTTAGCCTTCGCCTTGGAATAATATTTTTGCTTTTAACCACACCCTGGAATCATATGAATTTGGAATTGGACTTCGGTGCAAATTACGAGAAATTATAATTTTTACTTTATATAATTTCTTTTCAGTTGAGTTAGATTGAGGAAAGGTTTAGCTTGGTTGAGAAATAAAGAACGACAATTTGTTTAGTAAATTGATTAATTTTTCTGTAAACTGCTAAGAAAGTTGGTAAAAATACGCGTAGAATTATGTCGGCCACGCCTACTAAGGTAGTTAACTTTTAACTCAATAATACCAGTGGTGTCTGTAATGCATTTCGTCCTCTCAGCATGTTATTATTATCTTTGTCCCACTTGGACTTTATCACCTACTCAAAGCAAGGTTTTTGTGATTATCCTGTTTTCTGATCAGTATTCAATATAACTCTGTAAGTACAGTTCGTTCACTAATTTTCTCCTTAGAAATAATATTTGGCATAGTTTCATGGTATTTATGAATATGTGAATGTGTGTATGTATATTATATATAATATATAATATTATATATATTTGTATATATATTATATTATTGAATATTGAAATGAATATTGTGTGTGTTATGAATATTATGAATATTGAAACAATTCAATTCATTCTGTTTAACAGCAATTTTTTTAAATTGTCATATCCTACAGTTTACAGTTAAATTCCAATTTACTTAAGTTATTACATTTTTAAATATAATTTTATAATTATTATTAAAATTGGTTAGGTTTCTTTTAAATCATAGATTCCTAGTAAAGGATCTAAAGTAATATTAAAGATGCACATAGAAAAATATGTGATATAAATTTTATACAATTTAAAGGCTTGTAATCATTTTAAAGGACTGATTGTTATTAGTTTGTTGCTTAAAGCAATATATATATTTTTTTTATTTATTCATACTATTTACAACTGTATTCGAATATAATTACATCAAGTAAATATGTACACAGGAATATAATCACATGAAAACGCTATTTGAGATAGTACCCACTGATAGCACTCTAATAAAAGTAGTATTTATAATACAACTTAGATTTTGTTGAAGAGCAGTCAATTTTTAATTAAGGCATACATAAAAAATATATTTCTTAAATACATTAGTAAAAAGTTAAGAAATACGTTTTGTTTTATCCCTCTCTCATATACCTTGATGTAGCAAATTATGTCAAAATTACATTCAATTTTCTTTCTTTTTTTTGTTTTTTTTCTTAGAGTGATAAATTTAATATATAAACAATGACAAATTTGATTTTTAGGTCAAAGTTTTCTGCTGACTCTGTTTCAAGGTCATCTATCTGATAAAAAAGAAAGCTATTTGGATGTTACCCAATCATTAAATTTTGGATTTACAGATTTTTAATTCAGTTCAATTACTTGACAAGAAATTTAAAAAAAATATATTTTTTTTAATAATTAAAAGTAACATAAATCATCCTTCATTTCTGGCCTACAGAAATTACTTGGTCACCGGCTAGTTTGATAAATTCAGATATTTCAATGATACATACTACATAATCTTACAAAATTCATCTTATAGTTGTTACTAAATAATAGATTGAATTATAACAACTTGGTATTGTATAATTCTAGCCACTTTCCCTATGATATCCAAAAAAAAATGTATATCTTAATTCTAACATTATTATAATTGCTGGGTGGTTTTATTTGCATGTTTACTCTCAATACATTTTCATTATTTTGCCTTAATAATGGAAGGTAAAAAAATTTTTAAGCAGGCTTGGAACCTGTCTTCATTGAGAATACTAATGTGGATGTTTCTCAAGGTTGTTGTAAACATTTAATTCATTCAAAATACAGTATCTTAGCATTTTTTTCTCTTGATTGTTACCTCTTCAAATTTTCATTTTATTTTTTAAAATTGTCATTTTGACATTTTTTTTTTTTTTTTGCTTGAAAACCATTGAAGGTATTGGACAATATTACCTGAATACATTTTTTTTATACATGCACATTTATTAAAATACATTCTCTGAAAAAATATTTAATTTTTAATTTAAAAAGGATCGAGAAAAAAAGAACTTATGTTAATTTTCAGCTAATTAAAAACAAATCCTACCAATGATTGATTATTGTTTCCATTTTTTTTTTCTTATTGTATGAATTATAGATTTACATATTTATGAATGTACATATTATACCATTTCAATTTGCAGTTTTAAAAGTGATAAAGTTTCTTTGCAAAAAGAAAATTAGTAGTAATTTTTTCTTGTTTTTTTCTTTAGGTGATAGAGAACTTTTATTTTGAACTAGAAACAGTAGGAAAGTCCCAACATGTTTGTATTAAGACAATGTCTCACTTTAGGGACCAAATCATCAATTAGAAATTTTTCTGCGACTACAAATTTGGTTAATTTAACAATCAATGAAGACACAGGTATTATTTATTTTTTAAATTTTCATTATTCATTAATTGTCTATTAAACAATTTTATCACAATTTTAAATTTACTACAATGAATTCACAGGCGTTGCCATTATGGAATTGAATAAGCCACCTGTAAACAGCCTTAATTATGAACTTTTGGAAGCAATGCATCGCACATTGGTCAAGCTAGAGAACGAGAAGTGCCCCGGAATGATCCTTACATCTGTGAGTATCTGTTATCTAAAAGTTGGGCTTAATAAATGCATTTTTGTTGCAGACTGTTCCTGTGCCAATTTTAAATTATTTTTGGAAACTGATTGAAGGTTGAATGTGAAAATAGTGTTAGTGTTCAGTGGAGATTTCTCCATAAATGGATATTTTTCAATTTTATTTATATTTTGTTTTATTGATTTTAATAGCTTTATTTTTCCTTTGCTTGTTATATTATCTTTAATAAATTTTTTAAAAGTATTTTTCTATTAATGGATATCATTATTTTTTTAAATATATATTTAATTATGAAATTTTATGAAGTATTATTTTTATGTTTATTATTAAAATTGTTAACTCATTTTTTTTTTTTTTTAATTGGACTCTTAGAAATTCGTATTTCTTATTTTAAAAAAATATAGCAAGAAACTATATATTTAAAAAAAAAAATTCTAATTTTCTTCCATACTCCGAAAATAAAGTAAATGATTTTTATAGCCCTAACAGAATGTTTTGATAATTTTTTTCGAAGTAATATTACTTATATTAGTAGGTTGCTCTTGTAATGCCATCCCTTTTTCTGGTCAAAATTCATTTCCTAAACATTATTTAGAGATATATTGGAGGGATATTAACAGTTTAAAATAATGATTTGCTAAATAATTGTTGAGCTGATTTAAAGAGATATTTACTAGATGTGTAAAAATATCCTTTGGATCATTTGATTAGCCGTATGTTTGTTGCAGTCCTCACGAAGCACCTTCAGCGCTGGTCTGGATCTTCTAGAGATGTATAAACCTACTGTTGATAAAGCAAGGAGATTCTGGAGTATGTTACAAAATACATGGATTAAGCTGTACTCTACTCCTTATCCAACCGTCGCTGCCATAAATGTTAGTAGTTTTTTTATTGTTGATTTAGTTTCTATTTAATTATTCATTAATGAGAAAATTTATTATTAATCTTATTAGTAATGAGTTCTTATTTCTATTTATTGGAAGAATTTAATAAATAGATTTTCCTCTTCTTCTGTATGTTTATTTTAAGCATGATTACTAAACTAGTCCAGATAAAACTTATTAGGAAAGTATAATAAGTTGATCTAAAAAATTAATGCAACTTAATTGGAATACTTCAGATCCCACCATTCCATCTATTAAATTAAAAATTCTGGAAAGTCTCTTGTATAGTAATATAATGAGAAAGATTTTATTAAGATAATCAATACATCCAAATGGTTTATGAAAAAAAACATAAGTGTTATGTTATTTCATTTATAATCCTACTGAGAGTAAACATTTTCATATATAGGAAGGTGAAAGCAAAAATTGTAGATGGTATAACATATTAATTTAAAAAAATTAATTATCATGTTCCTCTATCCATCGATTCTGTTAAATTTGTTCTTTTGCATCACCTTTCATTTCAATTTATGACTGTATTTAATATCTGATAATATTAATGATTATGGAAAATTTTTGAGCTGTATCCCAAGCATCTTTTATTAACTCTTTGAAAAAAAGAGTTTATATTCCTATATATTTTGTATTATTAGATTTATATTAGTTGATCCTGGTTATTGTGACATGCATATACCTACCTTAAAAATGTAAATTCAGTTTCATATGACTTTGTGTTTTGAGTAGGCTGTTCACCCATATACACACACCCTCACACAGATCATTTCACAAAAGTTGATTTTTCAAACTTAGGGAACCTCAAAATGTGTATATCTGTTGAAAACTCAGATTAAAAAATACTCACGATGAATACTTTCTCTTACTATACATTTTATATTGACTTCTCAAAAATGAATGTGGATATTTCTATTTGATTCATTTTTATTCAAGTTTTTTTTTTTTTTCGTTATGAATTCTCTTATTTGTTGGTAAACATAAAATATAAATAATAATTATTCTTTTTATTCTATTTTTTTTATAAATTATTAACTAAAGAATAGTAAACATGAAGAGCACTCAATAAACCAACAGTTGTTTTAGACTTTCCTCAATTTTAATCCAATAACATTTTGTTTGACAATAGAAAGTAAAGTAACTTTCAGCTATTGAAAGTAGTATTACTATTAGTATAGTATGGGATTTCTTGTGAAATCAGTGACATTATAAATGGTATGCATAATAGGTGCAGAGAGGTAGTGCATAACAAAGGGTACTACATGAATTATTAAATTTTACGAAATTCACAACCATAAAAACAAGATCACAAAAACTTTTAATTTTAATATTTTTTTATAACATCTTTTATGAAATTTCCCGAGGTCAAAGATAATCTTATTTGTGTTAATTTTCAGTGTATTTTTTAATAAAATAAATCATACTCATACATAACTCACAATATTCCTATTACTTTTTAGCAGTATATATTAATAAGTGAATAAGTAAACTTTTGTAATATAATAAATGAATTTCATCTCAATAAATCCATGCAGGAACAAAATTAACTTGTGCTGAATAGTAATTAAACTGATTAATTTCTCTAAATTTCTTAAGGCAAGTGAATCTTTTGTAAATATAATATGTTATTCATGACTTATTCTATATACAATAAGGTGTTTGAATAAGTTTTCTGGAATATAATTCTATTTGGAGCATTGTGAGGAAATAATATGAATCTGAGTTAAATAATCTAGAAATAAATAAATTCTTACTACAAATTAAAAAAAAAATTATTGTATTCACTACAATAATGGGAAAAAATTAGTGTAATTAACAGGTAGAACGTTGCAATAAAAAATAAAAAAAGGAGAATCAGCTTTGTTGAGGCTATATTTAATTCCTTTTTAAGTCTATTATTGTTGTTAGTGATTGGTCCTTTTGTTTTTTCACTTATATTTATGTTGTTATTCACGTGATCAGATCCACTTGGTTATCTGCTAATCATGTTTATAAAGCAGCCATGCATAATTTCAATTAAATACAGATGTAACTGAGGGGCGTAGTATTTAATATATTTATGAAATATAGTCAATCTTTTTTTTTTTTTAGGGACATAGCCCAGCTGGAGGTTGCCTTCTTGCTATGAGCTGTGAACACAGGATTATGGTACCCGATAAAATGATAGGGTTAAACGAAACACAACTGGGAATAGTTGCTCCACAATGGTTAGACATACATATTTTTATTTTATTTTCTTAATACTAGGTTATTACAAAAGTCCTTGTACATACGTATAAACTTATTTCATATCAAATATTTTAAACGTTATTGAATATTATAAATAGAAAATCATCTTTATTCTGGTAGGTCCCATAAAATTAAAGGTCCCATCCTTAATGTTATATCAGATTTTGAAGGTAAATTTTGCAAATATCAACTCGCTGCTGGATATAGGATATAGGCTTCTGTCAAGTCATATCGGTCAGGCCTTAGTCTTATGCCCATGTTGTTAAGATGATAAGCCACTGGGGCATTATATGCCCCTACTACAGCCGATAAATAATGAGTAGTTGCATGTGGGTCTTGCTTCACACATTCAAGACGAACATCATCATCAAGGACCAAAGGGGGATCTGACCTGGGTATATCTGCAAGGCTCATATTTCCATTGTTGAAACACCTGAACCAAAGTGCGGCAGTATTTTGATGGATAACTGACTGTCCTTTGGGTGGGGTGACAGAGTAGGTCAACGCTTGTTCCCTACAATCTGATAAACAGAAGTTATCACGATAAAATGAATACAAGTTTATGTCCCGGTGCTAGAGAGTCTTTTAACTCTGGCATTAATCCCTCACCCTATTCCCGGGCCTGAGAAAAAATACCCATAGAGCCTAAAAGATAAAGGAGGGAAAACGAAAAAAAAAAAAAGATATCTAAACCAACCTTGATATATATAGTAGGAACAAAAACATTCTAGGATTAGTTATGAGAGTTGGAATTAAAGGTGTTCATGCACAAGGACTTTTGTAACAACCTAGTAGTTTCTTCTGTTTATAGCCCGAAAAATCTGGTGTGGTGTGCACATCACTCAACTTTCACTTAGCACTCTAGCTAGAGTAGAAATAGGTATCAATTTCATGTATAAATGGAGATCATACTGTTTTGGGTGGGACCTCAAAACAACTATGCATAAGACCTATTTTTACTCAATAGATTTTTAAAAAAATCTGGTGTGTCCACTCACACGACTTTTCTACCTATTTCAAAAAGTTTTTGTATCTTTACATATGTTCATGAAGAAACAAAAAAGAATTGAACTAGATATATTTTCCTGAAAATTGATCAAACATAAGATTTGAGTACGATTTATTTGATAAACTAAAGCAATGTAAACCGGCTTAAGATAGATCAGTGTAAAAATTTCAATACTTCCTAATATTGCTGATCAAAAACTTTTTGGCATAGCTTAGTATTGACAAACAATAATTTCTGTTGAAAGCATAGGAAATAGTGAAGGTTGTTTGATGCAGGCAACAGATTTTCTTACTTTCACTTATCTTTATTCTCTCATTCACCCCTTTCTGAAGCTAGGATATGAAACCGTAATCTTACATTGGAAATTGAATAGCTGTAACTTCGCTAATAGTTGTCTAAAAAGAACCATTTTTATATGGCTTTGTAGGGAATTTCACTACCTTTCAAACGACATGCTAAACGGCGAAATGCATAAAAAATAAAATAAGCTGTATCATCACTAATACTGGTTCGATTCCAATGATTTTTTTTTTTGTTTTGTTGGTAATTTAATTACCTTTCAAAAGTGTATAAATTTTACCGTATAGTATATACTTAGGGAGTTAGGCCCTATAACATTTTTCTTTTCTTTATAACTTTTTTTCCTGAATTTTTTGGGAAATTTAGTCTATATATGAAAATTGAAAGAACAATGATTATAACATTATAGGAAAGTTTCATCAAAATCGTTAGAGCCCTTTTTGCGCTACAGTCTATAGAAAAACATGTTTTTCATTTATTGCGCGCAAGCTATTGCGCATGGAGCACCGAATTTCTGTCACAGCCATCAGTAGTCAAAACACTACAAAATAAAAAAAGAAGCAACAAAATCAGTTCAGTAATTCCCGAGAAAATCTTGGCACAGACAGACAGACCAATGGCTAAAAATGTGTTTTTCGGACCCAGGAGACTCTGAAACGTATAGATCCGTCGAAAACCGCATGTCGGAAATTTGACCCAATTGCAATACTTTCCTTACCTAGTATAGGTAAGAAAGTAATAGTATTTAAAATTGTCTTTAGAGAGTAATTCCATATTCTAAAACGTGCATTCTACTGTTACTGCCATTATACATGTTTCTTTACTGTCAGGTTTCAAGACTGTATGAGGAATATTATTGGAGAAAGGCAGGCTGAGAAAGCACTCATTGCCGGTAGAATGTTTACATCTGAAGAAGCTTTGAAGATTGGACTCGTTGATGAACTAGCAACTGATAAAGAAGATCTCATGCAGAAGGCACATGACTTTTTGGACGAACAGATGGGACTCCCACGTAAGTAAATATTTAATATTTGTGGCATTTGGTTTAATTAACCAAAAAGCATTGGGGTATCGGTGTCGAATATGCTTCGATATTTGGTTTCCCTTCCCGCAGGCTAATATTGGACATGCTTCAGATGCACTGATGAAAATCCCTTCCTCTAGCCACTTGTTCATTGGCACTAGCCTTGATGAAGAGTTTTATAAGCTGTAAAAAACATTTGTGGAGAACTTGCCTTCATATTTTTGGTATTGAAAATCTTAGTAATTCTATAATGTTATTCCTATTTAATCTAGGGTGTTCTTTTCAAAATTATTTTAAAATACCTTACTGAATAGAGGTCTAAAACTGCTCTGAAATAGTCAAATTTCAAAGATAGAGTTCCAGCACTTGTCCACAGGAGAGGGTCGTTATACTTCTTCATGATGATGCTCCATCACATGTTTGTCAGTTATCTTTAAAAAAATAAAAAAAAAATTATCTGAAAATTCAACTTATCCCACATCCATCATATCTGCCTGACTTGTTTCCAGCTGACTAACACTTTTCCAAGCTTCCTTTTGTTTTAAAAAAAAAAATAAGTAAAATAAAAAAAGGTAAATTTTTATTTCTCGATTTTATACTCATGCCAAAACATATCTTAGAGCAAGGGATGAAATTCTTTTTGAACATTGAAAGTTATTTTGAATAACAGCTATATTGTTATAGTTAGTTTTTTATTCACGTTTTAGACATCAAGGAACAAATTTTATTCTCTATCAATCTAAAGTCTAATTCATTTCACGGGCATATCTTCTACTACCATAAATCCATTTTTTACAAAAAAAATTCAGTTAACAAAATATTCAGATTTAGTGTGGGTTAGTACGCAAACATCTTTTCAGTAATATATCTATGTTTTGAAAATGGTCATCCAATTTGACACAAAATTAGATGAAAGTTGGGAAATACTTTATAAATGGTTTAATTTGCTTCAACATGCACTTATGTATTTCTTTGACACGTATACATTTCGAGAATTTTTCACCCTATAGATTTTATTCTTGAACAATTTTATTAATTTACTAAATTTCAAACAAATTGTAGGCTTTGAAAAATAGGTGATTAAGTATCCTATACAAATGGTGACCCTACTTGACAGTTTTTTTCTTGACTATTATTAATTTATTTATTGTTTTTTATAAAAAATGTCTGCCATCCATTGTCAGTATAGCTTCGTCATCATATATATTGTTTATATAATTTTCTATATTTCTATGATTTGTCATCTTGAAATTAAATCTACTAGAGAAACCATTTTTGAAGTATAGCCTTTTCAAGAAAAAATGCTTGCCTAAGCTAAAGAAATAGACAGAATTTGATAAATTCAATATTTGACCATCTAGGAATTAATCCTAGATGGGTACTGTGATCTCTGAAAATTTCATCTAATCAAATTAATGAAAGTGTAGGGCAGTATTATTCCCATCCCATTAATTCGACTATAGTTACAGGGTGAATAATATTTTATAATATAGTTGAAAACCTTATTACTTTAAATATACACTCACATATACACAAAACTATCTTTTAATATGTTCACTGCCAACCACATTTCACAGAAATTATTTTCTTAGTAATTAGATATATTCATTTTAATTGTTTAATAATTTTTGTTGAAATCGATCCAAGATTTCCTCCAACTTTGGACCAAATCGAACTAGTCGTTTTTGAAATATATGTGTATAAAGAAAAATATGCTAGTGCATCCGAAAGTGAAAGTCATTTTTTGAAAGTAGTGGTTGGAATTTGATAAAATTAATACCTACCCAATTTTTTCATTTTTTCAGTATGCCTCTCTTTTTTTGTTGTTTTTTTTTTTCAGAAATTTCGGCTTAGTAATTTTTGTCCATTAGGAAAAATGTAATCAATCAAGCTATATAATATTGGTAAATTATCTTGTATAAGGGATTAAAGGATTAATATAAATCCTGCAAGTAGCTTAATGAATTGATATGTCAAGTCATGACTTGGAACACTAAATCTTCTATCAAAAGGAAGTTAATCTATATCATGGTTGACTTTTCATAATCTGGATTACCTTAAGCGAGTCCTTAATTAGGTTAAGGAAGCTAACAAGGTGAAAATAAACAATGATGTTTACCACTGTAAATGATGAATTTCATTAATCCTTATTTCTGGTGTTTTATTTTATTAGTTATTCTAGTGTCTATTGCTCCATACGAACAGTTAAGTATTATTAGAAGTTATTTTTCTTCAATTCCTTAAACATCTTTCTTGCTCAGTGCATGTGGTGCTTTGTTTTTCTATGTGTCTTATTAGTTTAAATGTACTATATTCTTATGTATAATGAATCATTTTTTTAGCTCTGGCTAGAAGTGTTGTGAAAGTTGGTTTCCGGAAGGACACTCTCAGTAAGTTAATCAACGGCAGGGAAGCAGATATTAAAATGTTTCTTGATAATGTTTTCCAACCAAAAGTTCAAGAAAGTTTAGAAAATTACATTCAAATGCTCAAGAAAAAATAACTCTATTTCAATGTATAATTTAGATTATGTTTTGTTTTTAGATATTTATGATTTTGTTTATCTTATAAAAGAAAAATAAATCAAAAAATAATTTTATTGTTTTAAAAATAAATATAGTTATTTTAGTGATAATTATTTTAAAAATATTTTGTCATATGTTTTTTATATTTTTTTTATTAAATAGAGGACTGTTTTAATTTTGATCATTAAAATATTTTATAAACAATCTCTGTAAAAATTTATATATTTTAAAAAAAATTGTTATAGATTTATGAATTTCATAACTGTGACTGTCTATTGTTATATATTTTTTTATAAATATTATCTATATAAAAAGAAAAATCTATAATATATTCTCTGCTCTGATGTTTTATTTTTTATGTTAATTACATAACACATATAATGCTGATTGGCTTTTAAGCTATATTTAATAAAAAAAAATTACATGCTTCCCATTAAAAATTCATTTTAAAATCCTTGATATATGTTTTTTTTTATAATTACATGACTATTATTTAAAATAATTACATTGAGATAATATCTCTAATGCCTAAGAAAAGCAAGAACCTACACAATTTTGTATCTACTATCAAAAAGTTAACTATATAAAAAGTTCTTAAATATTTAGATAACACTTGCAAAGAAGTGACAAGAGTGTATTATACGAGGGTAAGTAAAAAAATAAAGGAAAATTGAAAATATCTGTTATATATTTATTGTACCTGCATAAATGATACTAGCTAGCTACTTTTCAACATATTTCCTTCGGGAATAAGATTTTCGGCCTGAGGTTTAGAAACTTTTGCACCTCTTCAAAGCCTCTTCATCAGATTAATAATGACTCCTCCGCTACTCCTATTTTAATGGGCTAAAAAGATGAGTCACTTGGAGCCAAGTTTGGACGGTTTAGCAAGTCATCCAGCCGCTGAAAACAAAGATTTTGAAGGCACAGGACTGTGCTTTTAACTGCCTTTTTGGCCGTACGCGAATAAACATTATCTTGAAGTAAAATCATGCCTTTGATTTTTTAATTCAATAAAAAAGTAGCCCATAGTAGCTGTCACTATTTATTGTTTGAAGTCCAACAAAATTAGGCCTTGCATATTCTAAAACATTGTCATAACTTTTCTTCCAAACATATGAGTTTTTTTTTGTGTCGAAGATGAAGGATGTTTCCACACCAAACTTTGTCACTTACTCTCTGGTTCAAAGTTATGGACCCACGTCTCAACGGTAATTATTTGCTTAGGAAATAAGCCTCTTTTTTTTTTTTTTTTTTTTTTTGTATCGTTCCAAGTACTTTTGAGAAAGTTTCAAAGGATTGCCTTTGTGGCTGCTGGTCTATTGACATGGAACGTAGGTTGGTAAATCAAGAAGTGTAAAGCTAAAGAAATGTGATATTCAATCTTTTTATTTTTTAAAATAAGAACTTCGTACATAGCAAGAACTAAAATGGCAGTCACTACTTGCTTTTAAATTCTCTCCAAATCATTAGTATTCCAAAATAATATGATTTTTTCTTACCTTTAAACGATTGTTGTAATGCTTTGAAACACTGAGTACACCTTTTGAGCAGTCTAAGGTATGTCTGATCGCCAAAGTTAGGAAAGCAAACTTCTGAAAATCGGCTATATACAAGATAATTGACATGTCCAAAATATGTATTTATTGTTTTGATTTTTTTTCAAATGAAATAAATTGAAAAAAATATATTTTTATTAGTTTGGGACTAAATCCCTTTAGAACAAATTAAATGTGCATCACATAATGACTAAAACAGTGTGGTCATACTGTTTTGTACTTCATGCATTTACATTTATTTTATTTTATGAAGGATTATATCTATTATCTTTCACTTAAAACAACCAAAAAAATATATTATAAAATAAAAACCTGGACAAACAACAAAAGTAATATAAAGTATTTTGAGTAACATTTGATATCAAATAATATATATAATTTAACACAGAGTTATATTAATCAGATAGGGCAAGCAAAATGAGGGGATACAAACTAAGAAATTCAATCCCTGACATAGTAGGAGGGAAAGGCAGAGGGAGGCAGCACAGATTAGTAAGGATTCGCCAAAATAGAAATTAGGTGGAAGTCAGAAGAACGGAATTAAATAGAAGATTTAAATTCAAGGCTTTGTATAAAACTGGATTATATGCCAATCTCTGGCTATTCCAAAAACGTATCTTAATAAGCAGTGCATAAATCTTTTAAGTCTTGCTTCACTTGAAGCTCAGCAGTCTGCCATCCATACACCAGACTGCCAGAGTCAAAATGGGAGAAATGAAAGAGGAGACTAAGAATTGATTTAGTCATGTCCTGAATCTGCTACTGATGATTGGTCAGGGTTTCTACCATGATATCGGTGGAGTTTTATATTAAGGAATAAATGGGATCACACTAGATAGCATCGAAATCAGGCAACAGGGTGTCATAAATGAGGGACTTAAGGTTTCAGAATGATATGATCTGGGGAGAAAAGAGTGTAAAAGCAATATTGTAGATAACCTAGATATGTTCAGAAGCAGATAGAAATGGAACTGTGTTGTGATGAGGTATCTGAGGAATCCAGTTTATACAGATTGAGCCCAAACTGGGTATGATGGTTTTGGCTATAGGATACTTTTCAAGTTTTTGAAAGTGGAGATTTGTTAGATAAGCGTGATTAGGGGAAGGCATCAGTAAATTAATGTTTAAGTCTGGAAAAGATGCAATTGGAATAGCAAATTATGTTGTTAAGGGTGGTCTCAAATAATTTATAGAAGGTTACTGTAGGAGGGTGGTAGATAATACCAAAATACCCAAGGTGCAAGAAATTGGACCAATGCAAAATTTTGAATTTAAGACTATGATTAACATAAACCATCACCAACTTCCATATGATTCACTCTGTCTTGGCGAGAAAAGTAGAGTTTAGTAGGAAAATCTGGAAGAGCAGGAGATTGTGACTGGAATTAAATGATAGAAGTTGTAGAGGAAATAGAAATATAACTCATCAAAATAGGTCCCTACAATTTGTGATAGGTTAATAGGATGTTAGTCATGAGAGAAGGAGGATTGGCATAATGAACTGATGGGCTGTATATGCCCATGCATAAAGCCAAAAAAAAATACTGATGGGATTGGCTTAAAATGCTGCCTGTATTCTAACGAATGGTGTCATTGATTGAAGTCTGCTGCATTCAATATTGAACCTACTCTTTCCAATATAATAATTTCTTTTTGAATATTGAAAAGCATGATATCTTCTCTAATTTTATATTCCGTAACATTTTCTGAAAAATCTAACATATTTATCTTTCTTGTAAAAAAAGTCTACTGTTGTATAAAAAACAATGTTAATAATTACTTATAATATAATCATTTTTCACAACTCTGGACAATACCTCTTAAGTTTATACTAAAAAATGGATCTTTTTTAACACTCTCAGTCCAGATAGTTCTTCTGGAAGGACTCAGCAGTCTTTCAGCATGGCCTGGTGGTGGTCCTTTGGGAAACTCTGTTCCATATCCCTACCTATTCCAGAAGCTCATACATGATAGGGATAAACTTTTTCTATTTTGTGTCATTAACTGTTGCCTTCAGTACCCTTTTATCTTTAAAAGGACTTATTTCGTTTTTTAATCCTCTATATAGAAATTGGATTGTGAATTTTTAAAATATATTTTTTTTAAGGAAATATTTTATACTTAAAAATTACCAAGATAGACAGAGGTATTCTCAGAAAATAAAGCCTGTACTGAAAGTGTTAAGAAATGTGAGAGAAAGGGAAAAAGACTACAATGACCACAGAATGATATATTTTGCTGTCATTTTAGTATTTTTTTATCAGAAAACAAGTCAACTTCCTTCTCCTTTCAATATCTCGATTGTCTTTGAAATTGGAATAGAAGCATAGGACCACCTTTTTTCACTTCTAAGTTTCACAACCTTAGCTTGAATATTTTCATGCAGTTTATTCACAACTCTGGAAGAAAAGCTCCAATATACTTCAAGATTTTTATTTTAAACCGTCAAGCTTTGGTTAATGGCGGATGTTATTTGTTTTATTGTTTAAACCCCAGTCTAATTTATTATTCCTCATAAACTGTATAAGTTCTCTGTACAAGTCTGAAGGTATATTGAGATTCTTTATTATATAAATATTTTTTCCTTTCAGAATTTAATTAATGTTTCTTAAGAAATAAATTATTATAATAAAAAATGTCACAAATTTTCCTTCATCCTAATTTAGTTTTTGTTTTTTTCCTTTTAGTTGTTTCAAGAGAAGCTATAAAATTATCATTCAGGAAAGAAACACTTAATCGGCTTGTGAGCGGCTTAGAAGCAGATATTAATTACTCTGTCGATTTCATGTTAAGGCCCGAAGTGCAAAGGAGTATGGAAATGTTTCTAAACATGAAGAAACAATCTAAGTAAAACAAGAAAAAATCTAAGAATGATGTGATTGTCAAATTTTAAACGCTTAAATTGTTTCATTCCAGCTGCATTTTTATGTTTATATTAATCTGTATAATATTTAATAATAATAATGTATTAAAAGACTGTTATTTACATGGCTTTGGCTTTATAACTGAAGCATTTTGACCAATTATCTATATAGTATTTTTTTGAATTTGTTATTATATTTTTATACTTTTTTAATTTTGTTTATATTTCTTACACATTATATTTACTTAATTGTTATGAATTTATTATAAATATCTTTAGATTAAAAGAATGTTATTTTTATTGTCTATTTTTAAAATACACTGCTTTAATAATTTAAAAAATATATTTTTTACCACCTTTTTTGTTTCTTAGATGTTTTCATCTTTAATAATTTAAAAAAAGTCGTCAAATTTTTTTGGGCGGCAGAATGCACCGCAGCCTTGGAGATCTATTGTTTGCTTTGTGGCTTGACATAGGTATGCTTTTATTTACTAAAACGTTAGTTTGGTTACTTCTGTAAATCTTAATAAACCTTTAGGATTGATAAGCACAGAGCATTTGGGATCAACCAATCATTCCTCATCAAACAGCTCGAGCCTAAGCATAACTCACCTATCACACCGACAGATAATGTGAAAGGCTGTTCCATTCTTTTCTTGACAGAATGTACACATGATATTGCTTACAGTGATAGTTTAGGGTTATTAGAGGGACAGTTTAGCTTACAGTGGCTTGTATAGATAGTTGTGAGCTTTTTAATAGCTGCTCTATCCAGCATAATTAATAGCTTGCTACTTTTATCGTAAGACCCTTCAAGGAACAGCTTTCAAAGACATTTTACTGTATCGGACCAGTACTGTTTGAATTTAGCACCATATATTTCTCTGACTCTCCTTTTGGCAAAGCTGAAGCTGATACCACATACTGGTTCAGGGATTATGGGAATGGTTTATGAGTCAATCCTGGTTAGTTTGTCGGCTTCCACGTTGCCACCTAGAATCCCTGAGTGATCTGGTGCCCATTCAACGGCAATCTTATTATGTATAGCAATATTGTTTAGATTTCCACTGGAATCTTTAACAACCTACGAATAAATATAGTAGTTCTTTAAAACCCCTAATTCTGTCTTATTATTATTCTTTTACCAGTCAGTTTCATATGCAGTAGATTAAAAGCAAATTACCAGTTCTTCAGATTGGAACAAGGGTCTCCAAACTATGGCCAGCGGTCCATAACAAGTGTACTCTGATCCTGCCTGCAAAAGTTCCTTTGATTAGATGGTAAAATTTTACAAACTATTTATATGGAATTTGGTAAATCACACAAGGTTACTACAACATTTATTGTATGCTTTATTTTTCTTAGAAACTTCATTTCACAATTGAAGTGTCATTTATAGAAGAAACATTTTTTTTTCATCACAATTCATGGCCTGCTATTGTGATGGTCTTAATGCGGCCCATTGGACTTAATGGAGGTCATAATGTGGCTCGTGAGCCAAGGTTGGAGTCCCCTCGATTGGAATACTGAGGTATACTTTTCAAGGATAGGAACTGTATTAGAAAACTTTTCTTCTTTGTTAAAACTATAGAATGTTCTAGAGGCTTGGGCTTCAACCTCTAGCTGCAGTGGGGCATGCAAAGCATAACTAACCTCCATAGCAGCTGTTGGAGTGGAATTCATTGCCCCTGTTATCATTAGACAGGTCTCTGTAACTTCTCTAATAGCGTTTTGTTTGCTGCAGTCTTTGCTTTGTGCCACCAAAGCAGAGCAAAGGATGCTATTAGAGTTCAGGAAAATATTTGTAGGACTTTCAGTATAACAAAAGGAGTGAAACAAGGAGAGTCGTGATAAGGACAATATGCACAAACCTATAGAGATGTGTGGATTTATATAATTCACTCAGTATCTGGCCTTTGCTGTCAACGTAGTGATACTGGCAGAACAGCAAAAGCTTTTCTTGGAACATTGGAAGAAAATGGACAAACATTGAAAAATATAGGGCGGAAGATTATTGTCTCAAAGAGTAATATGGAGTCAACCTTAAATATTATGCTGTATATACATTTCATCGTAATTTAAGGGAAAACGAAAACTTTATCATTATTTGTTAAAAACACAGATCTTTCAATCAAAGGAGTCGGATTTCACGCTATTTTTAATTACAATGACTTTATCATTCATTGTTGAAAATGCAGTTTGTACGTTTGCGTCGTTTAAGCTGGAGGAAAATTTTAATTCTTTTGACAATATTTTCTCCTATTCATTAGTCGCATAGCGTATGTAGAAAAACGAGTACTATTTTACACAAAGGTTCACCTATTTCAAACACTCATTTCTTTGAAGAATCGTTAACGAATGTATGCCTGCCATCCTGCATCCACAAGAATTTAAAATGGTAAGCTTCGCCCAAAATGGTAAAATGTAACCATGTTTTATGGTAAAAAATATCTGTTAAAGTATTATTATTCGTGTAATTACATTTAATAGGACTTCAAAAATAACATAAACGCCATTTCATATATGTAGATAGTATCTTTCTTTTTTTTTTTTTGAGGAGTAGTCGTTATTTGTATATATATGTAACAACAAACCTGAAGCCCCACCAAAAATGAAATCCTGAATCCGCCAGTGGGAGGAAATTAGTTATAAATCCAAAGTGAGATTTTCAAGCGAAATCTGTTTCTGTCAAGAATTAAAGGACATGAAAGTCTGTGACGAATAAGTAACAGACATAAATTTGGTTCTGAATTATGTTCGAAATCGACCGTTGAAATACAATGTTTCATCTTTGTCTCAATCCCTAAGTTATTTGAATAACACTAAAAAATATACCGGGCTTGCTTTTGCATAGATACGCCACTATATCTGCTTATAATAATTTAAAAATTAACGAGTAAGATAAAAATTGAGCTATCATGCATCAAGTTCCCTCTAGTTAAAAGATACCCTGACCAATCTGGAAAATGTTCTTCCATGACTTTAATAATGTCTTATTTTCTTATTCCGGCAAATGTCTTATTTTTGCCTTATTCAATACTTTCTTTGTTATTTATATCATTATGAATATCATATTCTGTGTACTTCTCTGAACCCAATAGTTGTTATGGTACCATTTTTAATATTGGTTTACAAGTTTTACCATGTTTCAGAACGACCCTCAGCTGCTCATTTGAACAAATGATGACCTTCACAGCATTCGAGGCAAAATAACGCTTTATATTTAATTTTTTTTTATATTCATAATTTTTTAAATATTCATAAATAAATTTTTAAGATATGAAAAAGAACTTTGTAGTAAGATATAATAACAAGAATTACTTGTTTTAAGTAAAATACATTTTTTCTTTAAATTACTATTAATGTTAGTATAATTTAACTATCACGTATTCATAATAATGTTAAGTAGCTTAAACTATTTTCAGTTAAGATACTAAATCACACCGTTCATCTTACTTTCATTTCTCTAATATCCGAGATAACCTTATCTCATAGACAACGCTTTCTTTTCTTTTTAAACTATAAATAAATTGTTATTTATTAATTAGTTTACGGTGTCAGAATATGATAAAAGTATGTAATAATATTCATTATAAATTGAAATATTTTTTTATTTCCTTATTTGTATTATTTACAGGGATATCTAGAATGGGATTTATGGCGTTAGTTGCTTCATCGATAGTTTTGGGAGGAGCACATTTTTACAGGGATTTGAATTTTTGCGGGGGCACGTTTCGAAGGAGTAATAAATTTTTAAAAGTTTCATACCAAGAAACTAGTAGAAGAACATGTAACAACCCACGTCGACTGTAATTGCATATGATCTATAACTATTCTAATTGTACTTTTTCAAAAAGAGGAGAGCAATAAAATGTCTTGGAAGGGGTGGTAATTTATGCACCATTAACTATGGGAGGAGGGGGCACCCTGCATATTTGTTTGACAAACTTTCTGACATAATACGTTTTTTATTTTTTAGTAAAATCCTCCACCCAACATCTCGCTCTCTTCTGCCACCTCGGAAACATTTCAACTTAGAATATGAGGAATTAATTATATACAGCAAGAATCATCCAAAAAAAGTAACTTGTTTTTATATGTTCGATGTAAACTTCATCAACCTGAAATAATTAACGAAGGAATACATGATAATTTATTATTATTATTTGAACTGTAAAAACAAGTATTATTTTAAATTAAAGATGAAATCGATTTATCTTATGAACTGATAGTGGTAAAATAAAGATGGTAATTATTGTACAACACAAGATAGTGAGGGTAGTTATCCTTCAAACCAGCCAATAAGAAAGCCAGCTTTCAATAGAAGGCACAACGATATCTACTATTGATACATATTGTAATACACAGCCGGTCCAAGGGTCATCTCTTGCAACACATTTCATATCTATCACTCGTTAGATGTATTTCATTTCCACACAGCCATTATCTATTTAGGCATCAAGATGAGACAATACATTTGGGTTTTTTTTCCTCTATCAGGACTTTAAAAATGGAATAGTAGATATTAATTCTTATATCAATTGCATTTAATTTTATTTTTTTAAATATGCAAAGGTTTTTTTTTTTTTAGCAAAATCGGACATAACTACAGGATGGCTCCTTTGAAATAAATAAAAAAGAACTAAAACTAATATACATAAAAAATTCCCACAATTAGACTTATTTTTAAGCATACTGCATTGAAAAAAGTATTGGAGTACATTGAAAAAAGTATTAGCACTGAAAAGTATCTGTAATGAAAAAAGTATCAGTAAAATAATAGAATTGACAAAACAAAAATCAATTCATTAGCATTAATAAATTAATAATTTATTTTATGTATGTCTGGTTATAGTGCCTCTGCTCAGCCTCCACTAATGCGGCTGAGTGAGAAGCGCTGGAATCTCCTGGAGTCCTTCATTTTCTTCCACAAGTGAGGAGGGGGGGGAGAGGAAGGCTTAGCTTGGAGTTTCCCTGAGTGAATGAATTTTGCAAATATTGTATAAATGCATGAGTGTATTTAAAATGTTATTTTGGGTTAGTTTAGTTTCTTTCTGTTTATATACATTTATCTTTAGTATTATTATTTTGCTGTTTAATTTATTTTAGGTTTTTTTGTTTATATACATTTATTTTTAGTATTATTATTTTGCTGTTTAATTTATTGTGCATAGAGTGTGAATGGGATACTACCATTATTTCTAGTTTCCTTTGATGTAA